CGCCATGGGAACAACCATTTACGCGTAAAACCCTGGATTAAATAGAGCGGTGTCATTATGCAACGGCCTGAGAGTGCAGCAGCACAAATTGTCCAAGACCAAGAAGATATACCTATTTATAGCGGTCTCCATTAGGGCCCAGAGCCAATTGAGCTGTAATGGCTCCATCTGTATTCTTAATGGTGATACCCCTATTAGTTTGTCCCATGTGGCTCTGCTCTGTACAGGTGCATTAATGGGGTCCGCTGGTGAGCAGACCAGTGAACAGTTCCCGGGTGAAAGCAGACGAGCTGAGAGAATGAACAGGGTTGTGTGTGTAAGGGTTCAGTGGTGTCTTAGCACCCTCTAGTGGCGAAAAGACTAAAGATCAGTAAAAAGGCAGCTTAAATGGAATGGTGAGAGCATTAAATCACAGCACCCAGGATCAAATCAGCTACCATATTAAGTAACCAGAACACAATCGTGGCTATTTACAGGACTCAGATTGACTAAATAAGAGGAGGCTGTCCAAGAAGACTATAACTCCCAGTCATATGTGACAGTTGAATGGGGGGGGGGATGTTATTTTAGCATTATATAAAACATAAAGAAAATCATGATTTGTTATAAAAACAAAAAAGCCAAATAGCAAAAAACGGCAGATCAATATCACTATCATTAAATCACAAAAAAAAACTATCAATCATTGAAAACACTGAAATAATAAAAACACCCCAAAATAAACCCGTCATCACCAACATAAAAACATAATGGAAACATTCACTTCTGTAATTTGCTGTTCCCTATTAACCTTCAGAGAGCTCACCAGCTGAGATCGATACACTGTAGAGAGAGAGAGACAGTATTTTAATTGAGAAGCAGTAATTATCCTACTGGATCTAGTTAATGAACACAACCAACTCTCCATGTTGCCTACAGCTAAACTGGTAATTGAGTTCTGAGATGGAAGGGCTGGCTCTCCTTGTGAATGTTCTACCCCCCCCCCCCCCCCCCCCAAATGGCACCCTATTCCCTACATAGTGCACTACTTTAGACCAGAGCCCTATGGGCCCTAGTCAAAAGTAGTGAACTATGTAGGGAATAGGGTGCCGTTTGGGATGCTCTCCCTGTGTTGCTGGCCACAGTGAGAGCATGAGATTGGTTGGGGCCTCTGTGCTGGGCCTATAGGCCTGGGGAGTGGGGGACCACTGGCACGTTCCCACTGCTGGGGGAAGTTAGGTCCTCCACTAGCTACATATCTAGGATAAGTCTCCCCCTCCTCCAAATCCTAACCTTATCCATTAGTGGGGAAAATGCAAAACTGACCCAAGATCGGTATCTAGGGACAACTTCACCCCTCCACCTTTCCCCTGGGTGTGGCACAGACGGTGCAGGAGGAGGTGTCACCAACGCCCTCTTCAGCAGACCATCTCACCCAGATCATACTCATAATATTCAAGGCTATTATTGTTAATAAGATCCCGATGTTTGCCTCTTCTATAAAAAAAAATTATGATTTTTAAAGTTCAGGTTTATTTCTTATGACCTTGGTGTGCATTTATAGACGGCTACTGTTTCCATAGTGATTAAATAAGGCTATTATTACTGTTGTTGTTCTGTCGCCATTCATTTCCAGTAGACAACATCCTCTCTTTAAGCTTAGCTAGCTTGATGTTGAATACTTATCAACGTCACTCTGTTCAAAACAGTGGTTTAAAAAGACAATGCCACTGTTTGACCGGGGGTCTTTTTCCTGCACCTGGAGAAAGGCTATACAACAAGAATGGCTTACAGCCTTTAGCATATCCTTGATGTAAATTCAACAGGACAGAGTCAAAGACAAGCCAGTAAGCATTAAGCAATATAAGAGAATAGAAGTATCTCTCAGGTAAGTGAGCTAAAGTCAAATCAATCAAGCATTGCATAAACACATTGGTTACAGATGTAGTTTGCAGTAGCCTTAACCTTGAAGTTTGCAGTGGTCTAAAAAAAAAACCACAATTTTACTCCCCAAAAAATGTTTTACCCTTGTACTTTACCGTTTTTATTCTTGGGATATCGCTTTTCAACAGGAAAAGTTCAAAAATCGCTGGAGGACATCTTTAATTAATCTAAGTTTACACTTAAAACAGAAGGCCGGCGGAAAATGTGACACAGTTAAGTATTTATTTCAAATATTTTAGGTTGTTTATAATAAGAAATGAATTTGAAAAAACAAAAACAAAGAAACGGTATACTGGCAGTTGAACAGATAAAGGTGTCAAATGAACGAGCGCAACACTCGGAACAAAGTGAACGGGAAGATGACATGAGATATCAAAAAGTGGCTTGGGGGGGGGGGGTCTTGTATAATCATGCATCCCAAATGACACCCTATTCCCTATGTAGTGCACTACTTTAGACCAGGGCCCATAGTGCAGTGGTGAACAGTAGTGCACTACATAGGGAATAGGGTGTTATTTGGGAAACAGAACACAATGTTGTGATGAAGGCACTATCAAGCCTCTGATGTTTTTCTCTTCTTAGTGTAGCTCTCTCCCTAACGAGCTTGACCCCGTTACCAAAAACATTCTTAGGCATTAAAACATGTGACTAGACGTTCCCGATTTGCTCTTTTCCCCATGGGAACCAACACTTCCATGTCTGTAGATCTCTAAGGTGTATGTGCAACATGGTGGACGATTTACCACTGCGTATAGCTAACCAGACCCTTCTGATCTGCAAACACTAAAGGGTTAGGGCCAAGGGAGAGGGGTAGACAGCAATTTGGGACTGGCTGGGGTAAGTCTGTTATTTCTGGTAAACCTTGTATCAGCACACCCACTGTTGAGTCACAGCCACATACTGCTGCTGCATTCTAAACCTCGGGCTAAAAACGTGTTAATTATCCAGACAATCCCAACAAACTGATGAATGACACACATTTAGGACGTGCGGTGGTTAACATGTGAGAGACATCAGTCGATAAAAACAGTATGGAGATTTATCTTATAAAATCTGATAAATGTTTTCTCTGTGGGCTACAAATTACTAGATGTTAATGTTACAGACAACCAAAAGGTACAATGCTCAGAGAAGTCTTCCCAACCATTTGGTCCAGTACTTCAGAGAAGTCTTCCCAACCAGTTGGTCCAGTACATCATATATATGTCTTCCCAACCATTTGGTCCAGTACTTCAGATGTCTTCCCAACCATTTGGTCCAGTGCATCAGATATGTAGTGTGTAAATACACTATGTACTGTAGAGATATTTTCCCTATCCTCTCATGTGTTCAGTCTGTAAACCGTTAACAATGGATCTGGCTAAATATATACACACAATGTAGATGAACGACATCCCTTAAAACACACAGTCCTAGCAGCATCACACTGAGCTGAAGCCACTCTCGACAGCAGATGTGTTTAGTGAATAACCTTTCCCCCTTGTTAGTACCGTATCTCCCTTTCACAGTCACCCAGTTTAGGCATGAGCCAGCAATCTGTCCTTCTGACTCTTTGATCTGAAGTTATGTACTACAGATCAAAAGTCCGAATTTCTGACATACTCCCCGTTTTCTTTTTCTTTTGAATTGACCTTCTCATATGTTCTTTTATAAAAAAAACGAAACGTAAAAAAAGACTCAAAAGCTTTTGCTGGACGTCTTCCGGTGTGGTTGTGGTTAGTTAAAGGGGGGTTTTATTGACCTCTGACCTGCGTGTATATAGGGGCCCTGATAAATCCGCCATGTTGGATCTGGTTTCAATAACCTGTAGAAATGACCAGCTACAGAGAAGTACAGGACACAAAGTTGGATCTGGCTTAAATAACCTGTAGAAGTGACCAGCTACAGAGAAGTACAGGACACAAAGTTGGATCTGGCTTAAATAACCTGTAGAAATGACCAGCTACAGAGAAGTACAGGACACAAAGTTGGATCTGAGACCTGTTCAAACATCTTGTAGAAGTCAACAGCTACAGTGAAGAACAAGGAACCAATGAAACCAGCACAGTATTTCCCTATTCCCCCGTTACAGTACAGCTACACAGTAGGTTCCCATCCACACAGGTCAGACGCTGACAACCAGAGCAGAGTTCATCCAAATGACTGTTTACGATGGCATTCTTCAACGTGTGTGTAACAGGGTGAATATTGGTCCAGCTCTGCCATCTGAACTAACACAGACAGTAGAGTATATGACCTCATCAACATCCCCCCTGGCCTGATATTAACCCAGACCTCATCAACATCCCCCCTGGCCTGATATTAACCCAGACCTCATCAACATCCCCCCTGGCCTGATATTAACCCAGACCTCATCAACATCCCCCCTGGCCTGATATTAACCCAGACCTCATCAACATCCCCCCTGGCCTGATATTAACCCAGACCTCATCAACATCCCCCCTGGCCTGATATTAACCCAGACCTCATCAACATCCCCCCTGGCCTGATATTAACCCAGACCTCATCAACATCCCCCCTGGCCTGATATTAACCCAGACCTCATCAACATCCCCCCTGGCCTGATATTAACCCAGACCTCATCAACATCCCCCCTGGCCTGATATTAACCCAGACCTCATCAACATCCCCCCTGGCCTGATATTAACCCAGACCTCATCAACATCCCCCCTGGCCTGATATTAACCCAGACCTCATCAACATCCCCCCTGGCCTGATATTAACCCAGACCTCATCAACATCCCCCCTGGCCTGATATTAACCCAGACCTCATCAACATCCCCCTGGCCTGATATTAACCCAGACCTCATCAACATCCCCCCTGGCCTGATATTAACCCAGACCTCATCAACATCCCCCCTGGCCTGATATTAACCCAGACCTCATCAACATCCCCCTGGCCTGATATTAACCCAGACCTCATCAACATCCCCCCTGGCCTGATATTAACCCAGACCTCATCAACATCCCCCCTGGCCTGATATTAACCCAGACCTCATCAACATCCCCCCTGGCCTGATATTAGCCCAGACCTCATCAACATCCCCCTGGCCTGATATTAGCCCAGTTCCAGCCTAGTTCCCTTTGGGGTAGATTTTCTCGTAGAAGAAGTTCTGGGCCAGCAGGTAGAGTTCCCCGTCCTTCTCCCGGACGGCGTGGGCCCGGACAAACTGGAACTGCTCCAGGGCAAACTCATAGAACTCGTTCTCCATCTTCCAGATGTCCGACTGCTGCAGCTTGGCGATGGACTCCTTGGTGGGTGGCTTCTTCTCTGTGGTCTTCCGCAGGTGTGACTTCTTACCTGGGAGCACACGGGGACAAGAGAGGATCAAGTTAGGGTCTAGCTATCTGACAGACTAGTCTTACCTGGGAACACACGGGGACAAGAGAGGATCAGTTAGGGTTTATGGAGTATCTGGCAACAGATGTGTGCGGCTTCTACAACTGGCTAAACACATTTACGGTCTTTCTATCCAACAGGCTACTCCTTCACTTAGCCTGCCCAAGTGAAGGAGAGGGATGTTTTCACCAAAATAGTAGGTTAGTCTGCCCAAGTGAACTAAATACTCGGTTAGTCTGCCCAAGTGTACTAAATAGTAGGTTAGTCTGCCCAAGTGTACTAAATACTCGGTTAGTCTTCCCAAGTGTACTAAATAGTAGGTTCGTCTGCCCAAGTGAACTAAATACTTGGTTAGTCTGCCCAAGTGTACTAAACAATCGGTTAGTCTTCCCAAGTGTACTAAATACTCGGTTAGTCTGCCCAAGTGTACTAAATACTCGGTTAGTCTGCCCAAGTGTACTAAATGCTGTTACCAGGAAGAGAGCAGAGTGTGGCTGCAGACCAGGGTCTGTCAGGAGGAGCGTGTCAGGACGGACGTGGTGCCACGGAGAGAAGGCAAGAACACTAAGGGTCAGGGTTTAGCTGCTGAGGTTAAGTGAGACGAACCAGGATACATTATGTGCCAGTACAGTACCTGTTTTGTAGAGGTCTGTGGCACCCTTGAAGAAGCGCGGTAGGGCTGCCTCCAGCATCATGATAAAGTCCTCCAGCTCCTCTGTCACCCCTACTAGCAGATATTCATTCAGCAGGTTGTACTTGGCCTGCTCCAGGGCCCACCTGCTACCCACGTTCCTATAGTACACACACACACACAACACATAGTTCACACTGTATCATTACATTTAGAATACTAATTTAATGGGATATCTGTGGTGTACACGCCGTTTAATGACAACAGATGACCTAATCATTATGTCATCAATGTGTTCTGATTAGTAACACAGTGACTAAACTAGTCCAAAGACCCCTAAGCCCCAGCCGGTGCAATGGGGATGAGTGGGTCTGAGTGTTGGCAGCCACGTTGGTACCCACCAGCACTGGCAGCCACGTTGGTACCCACCAGAACTGGCAGCCACGTTGGCACCCACCAGAACTGGCAGCCACGTTGGTAACCACCAGAACTGGCAGCCACGTTGGTACCCACCAGAACTGGCAGCCACGTTGGTACCCACCAGAACTGGCAGCCACGTTGGTACCCACCAGAACTGGCAGCCACGTTGGTACCCACCAGAACTGGCAGCCACGTTGGTACCCACCAGAACTAGCAGCCACGTTGGTACCCACCAGCACTCTGAGTAGTGTCCGCAGAAGAATGGGATCTGGAGCCACAGCTTCTCAGGGGCACAGTCAGAACCCCCTGCTGACACACATTCATCAAAGGTCTGAAACACACAGAGAGAGAGAGACAGAGAGAGAGACAGAGACAGAGAGACAGAGACAAAGACAGAGAGAGAGAGAGAGAGAGAGAGAGAGACACAGAGAGAGAGAGAGACACAGAGAGAGAGAGAGAGAGAGAGAGAGAGAGAGAGAGAGACACAGAGAGAGAGAGACAGAGAGAGAGAGACAGAGACAAAGACAGAGAGAGAGAGAGAGAGAGACAGAGACAGAGAGACAGAGAGAGGGAGAGAGAGACATCGACAGAGACAGAGAGAGACAGAGAGAGAGAGAGAGACAGAGACAGAGAGACAGAGAGACAGCGAGAGAGAGAGAGACAGAGAGACAGAGAGACAGAGAGAGCGAGAGAGAGACAGAGACAGAGACAGAGAGAGACAGAGAGAGACAGAGAGAGAGAGAGAGAGACAGAGACAGAGAGACAGAGAGACAGAGAGAGAGAGAGAGAGAGAGACAGAGAGACAGAGAGAGCGAGAGAGAGACAGAGAGAGAGAGAGAGAGAGAGAGAGACAGAGACAGAGAGAGAGAGAGAGACACACACACAAGCATGTCAGAAATAAGAGCTACACAGACACTCACTAGGTTCATAAGAAATCTTAAAAACACCATAGAAAACAAGTATCTTATATGTATGGAACAATACCTTTTTGTCGCCTTGTTTTCTCCGTCGAAGACCAGGCCTGTAGTCATCTCCAAACCTCAGGAAGTAGTAGTATGATACAAGGCGTTCTATAGGGTCCCGGACCACGTTGATGTAAACAGGTTTACCTCTCACCCCATACCTAATCAGAGGGCAAAATAGTTAGGATATTACCAGTACCTAATCACAATAGTTAGGATATTACCAGTACCTAATCACAATAGTTAGGATATTACCAGTACCTAATCACAATAGTTAGGATATTACCAGTACCTAATCACAATAGTTAGGATATTACCAGTACCTAATCACAATAGTTAGGATATTACCAGTACCTAATCACAATAGTTAGGATATTACCAGTACCTAATCACAATAGTTAGGATATTACCAGTACCTAATCACAATAGTTAGGATATTACCAGTACCTAATCACAATAGTTAGGATATTAGCAGTACCTAATCACAATAGTTAGGATATTACCTAATCACAATAATTAGGAATAGACACTACCGGTCAAAAATTTGGGCACACCTACTCATTCAAGTGTTTTTCTTTATTTTTACTATTTTCTACATTGTAGAATAGTAGTGAAGACATCAAAACTATGAAATAACACATATGGAATCATGTAGTAACCAAAAAAGTGTTAAACAAATCAAAATATATTATATGTTTGAGATTCTTCAAATAGCCACCCTTTGCCTTGATGACAGCTTTGCACACTCTTGGCATTCTCTCAACCAGCTTCATGAGGTAGTCACCTGGAATGCATTTCAATTAACAGGTGTGCCTTCTTAAAAGTTAATTTGTGGAATTTCTTTCCTTAATGCGTTTGAGCCAATCAGTTGTGTTATGACAAGGTAGGGGGGTATACAGAAGATAGCCCTATTTGGTAAAACACCAAGTCCATATCATGGCAAGAACTGCTCAAATAAGCAAAGAGAAACGACAGTCCATCATTACTTTAAGACATGAATGTCAGTCAATACGGAACATTTCAAGAACTTTGAAAGTTTCTTCAAGTGCAGTCGCAAAAACCATCAAGCGCTATGATGAAACTGGCTCTCATGAGGACTGCCACAGGAATGGAAGACCCAGAGTTACCTCTGCTGCAGAGGATAAGTTCATTAAGTTATCAGCCTCAGAAATTGCAGCACAAATAAATGCTTCACAGAGTTCATGTAACAGACACATCTCAACATCAACTGTTCAGAGACTGTGTGAATCAGGCCTTCATGGTCAAATTGCTGCAAAGAAACAACTACTAAAGGACACCAATAGGAAGAAGAGACTTGCTTGGGCCAAGAAACATGAGCAATGGACATTATACCGGTGGAAATGTGTCCTTTGGTCTGGAGTCCAAATTGGAGATTTCTGGTTCCAACCGCTGTGTCTTCGTGAGACGCGGTGTGGGTGAACGGATGATCTCCACATGTGTATTTCCCACCGTAAAGCATGAAGGAGGAGGTGTTATGGTGTGGGGGTGCTTTGCTGGTGACACTGTCTGTGATTTATTTAGAATTCAAGGCACACTTAACCAGCATGGCTACCACAGCATTCTGCAGTGATATGCCATCCCATCTGGTTTGGGCTTAGTGGGACTATCATTTGTTTTTCAACAGGACAATGACCCAAAACACACCTCCAGGCTGTGTACGGGCTATTTGACCAAGTAGGAGAGTGATGGAGTGCTGCATCAGATGACCTGGCCTCCACAATCCCCCGACCTCAACCAAATTGAGATGGTTTGGGATGAGTCGGACCGCAGAGTGAAGGAAAAGCAGCCAACAAGGGCTCAGCATATGTAGGAACTCCTTCAAGACTGTTGGAAAAGCATTCCAGGTGAAGCTGGTTGAGAGGATGCCAAGAGTGTGCAAAGCTGTCATCAAGGCAAAGGGTGGCTATTTGAAGAATCTCAAATATAAAATATACACTCTGTTTGGTTACTACATGATTCCAAATGTGTTATTTCATAGTTTTGATGTCTTCACTATTATTCCACAATGTAGAAAATAGTAAAAATAAAGAAAATCCCTTGAATGAGTAGTATACCTGTACCTCATCACAATAGATAGAAGTGAACTGCTAAAAGAGTAGCTGAACTTCTTTGGCGCTTTTGATTCACGCTCAACACATTTCACAAATACAGGACTAGTTCCACTTTCAGCCACAAGGTGGCAGCAGCCGTATGAGAAAATGAAGAGCAAAGATTCCCACACAGTAGAAGAAGTATACAAGTATAGCAGTAAAATCAAATAAGTAAATTAATAAATACTAAACCACCAATTCTAAAAGCCAAGACCTTCTTTCATGTGTCACATAAAATGTGTTCGTTACTCATCTGGATATAATTTAAGTAATGAAGATTGTGGAGGGTTTTACTTGGAGAAGTCGACAAAGGCCACATGTCCGTGGTAGAATCCAGGCTTCATCTCTCTCCAGGACGTCACGTTACGGACAAAACGCACCTGGAAGCACAATCAGAGTCCTAATCACACAAGCGGATTAGTTTGTCATCTAAGTCTATGCATGCCTGATACAGACAGACAGACAGACTTCTAACAACTCCCCTCTTGTCCCCATTACTTATCCCCTCCTTCCTTCCTCTTCTTCTGTAAACTGAAAAGTTTTGTTAAACGGTTCCCATTTTACTATTCCTTATTTTGGCGTAACTCTCTTACGCAAAGAGATAAGTTTAAAAGAATTTGGATTGATGTTCAATCAACACTACAGTCCCTTCTGGCCACAAGTTTCTCTCATCTCTGCAGGTGACACTTTAACAATGCTCAGATTCTCCCACCCACGTCGTATTGTCTGCACAGGGAAGAGACTGCAGTGAGAACAGACAGGTTATTACCTTGGCAGAGCAGAGGAGCAGACAGAAATAAGACTATCCCGGCTCTAGCCAGAGGCTCCAAGACACTTCCCTTGCTCTCTCGCTCTCTCTCTCTGTGTTTTCTCAACAGCAGTCACAGTGACAGTCTGTAATACACACGCACAGCCAGAAACAGACCAAACCCGTCAGGGCTATCAGAACACACCCAGACCAAACCCGTCAGGGCTATCAGAACACACCCAGACTAAACCCATCAGGGTTATCAAGATCAGACTAAACACTTCAGGGCTATCAGAACACAACCACACTGTTTGTCTGACCAGGGGCTTGATGAGGCAATACCAGGGTCAATATATGCAGGAGGGCTAAAAGAGACTAAAATCAGATTATATATTATTTATTATTATTTGTGTTCAGGTTTCCCCCAAATCCTCGAACTAGTACTGTAGCGACTCCTAGCAATTATCTTTTTGAAATGTTTTCAAAGACATTTGTGAAGTGCATGATGGATTCAAACTGAAGGATCCTTCCTTTCCCTCCAAATCATGCTGACATCATTCTACTACATGCTACTCCTGTTTAATACTCCTGTTTAATACTAAATGCTTGTGGATGCTTCTTGTGGAGGATTCTTTATAGAGGGCAGGTCTTAGCTACGTCCCCACCTGGTCTTGTAGGGACATGACAGGATTGTTCTTGGTGGTGTTGATGTGCAACACGTGGAAGTGGTTCTTCCCACAGAGATCGTAGGCGATGTTGGTGAACGATGTGCTGCCCGTCTTGGGTACCCTGTTATATATGATGACCACGTCCTCTGCCAGCGGCGGCGTGTCCCGTACGCCATCTTGGGTGTGGCGTCGCTCCACCTCCATCACCTCGTGTCTGGCGATGGTGCGCTCTGCAGGAGGGAGACGCAGGGGAAATTCAGATTCACACACTCAGAAAAGCTTTATTGTGCCAACATTAGGCAATTTAGTTAGCAATACAATGAACTGGTTTCACAAGGGGGCTTCTGGGGGATAAATGATAAAGGCAGTGTGTGTTCTGCTGGATAGACTGGAGTGCCACAGGGTACCAGCAGAGGGAGCAGGGGGCCTCAGGACATGTACACAATTGCCTTCCATCTTCTATGACGAGTGCCTCCAGATAACCAGGCTAGTCAATTATTTGGGCCAGTGTTTTCGCTGAAGGTGTGACAGAGGGTGATAGAGAGGGTGAAGGACGGGCTTGTTTCAACGACGACAACACAGGCAGGACGATTCACACGTTCCGCTGGTGGCTAGCCCCTGTACAAACTGACAGTGTAATTACACAAAGCTGGCAATTGACCCATCCTTCCTCTACAGTAGATGGATGCCCACTTGTGCATAAAATAACCAGGTTCCATTATTGATCACAGCTTCCCAAGGCACCACACATCAACCCGAGAGCCTCCTGCAAGTGAAGCTTGTTTCTCTGTTAAGAGCCTTCTAAGACCAAAATGTCTCCATCATACTGTAGCAGAGGGATAGTTGTTTCAGTTCACACCACAGCTGTCTAAGACCGGAGGGTCTATATGCTATCTGTATCTCTAGCTCAGTCTGAGCTCAGAAAAACTGCTGCATCAAAATTCTCTCTCTCTCTCTCACACACACACACACACACACTAAGTGAGAACACACTGGGTAATGAATACACAGCAGAAGGCTCAGAAGTTTAGAAACCACTGGATCAAAAGAGCTGCTGCTGTCTACGGGCCTGTGGAGGGCAGACAGACTAAGTCCCCAGGCACCGTTCAGGCTCCACTCAGCTCCTGCCTCCCACTCTGCTTGTTTGCATACTCACTGATGCACTGCACATCTCTGCACTCCACTCTCTGCACTCCACTCCTCTGCACTCCACTCCACTCCACTCTCTACACTTCCACTCCACTCTCTAACACTGTACGCACTCTCTACACTGTACTCCCTCTCTACACTGTAACTCACCACTATCTAACTGTACGCCACTCTCTACACTGTACTCCACTCTCTACACTCCACTCTCTCCTCCCTACACACTCACTCCACTCTCTACACTGACTCCACTCGCTACACTCCACTCCACTCTCTACACTGACTCCACTCTCACACTCACTCCACTCTCTAACAACTCCTACCCACCTCTCTACACTGTCACCCACTCTCTACACATCTACTCCACTCCACCTCCACTCTCTACACTGTAACTCCACCTCTCTACACTCACTCCACTCTCTACACGTACTCCACTCTCTACACTTACTCCACTCTCACACTCCACCACTCTCTACACTGTACTCCACTCTCTACACTCCACTCCACTCTCTCCACTGTACTCCACTCCTCTACACTGTACTCCACTCTCTACAACTGTACTCCACTCTCTACACTCCACTCCACTCCTACACTGTACTCCACTCTCTACACTGTACTCCACTCTCTACACTCCACCACTCTCTACACTGTACTACCACTCTCTACACTGTAACTCCACTCTCTACACTGTCACTCCACTCTCTACACTGTACCATCCCACTCCCACTCTCTACAATCTGTACTCCACTCTCTACACTGTACTCCACTCTCTACACTCCACTCCACTCTCTACACTCCACTCCACTCTCTACACTGTTCTACTGTACCACTCTCTACACTGTCACTCCACTCTCTACAACTGTACTCACCACTCTCTACAACTGTACTCCACTCTCTACTACTCACTCTACACTCCCACTCTCTACAACTGTAACTCTCACTCTCATCTCTACACTGTACTCCATCTTACCTGACCCACTCTCTACACTCCACTCCACTCTCTACACTGTACTCCACTCTCTACACTCACTCACTCTCTACACTTCCACGTCCACTCTCTACAACTGACTCCACTCTACACGTCTCATCCACTACACTGATCACTCTCAACTCTCTACTCTCTACACTCCACTCCACTCTCTACACTGTACTCCACTCTCTACACTGTACTCCACTCTCTACACTGTACTCCACTCTCTACACTGTACTCCACTCTCTACACTCCACTCCACTCTCTACACTGTACTCCACTCTCTACAACTCCACTCCACTCCTCCTACACCTGTACTCCACTCTCTACACACTCCACTCCACTCCTCTACACTGTACTCCACTCTCTACCGACTCACTCTCATCCACTCCACTCTCTACACTGTACTCCACTCCACTCCCTCCACTCTCTACACTCACTTCCACTCTCTACCACACTTAACGTACTCCACTCTCTACACTTACACTCCACTCCACTCTCTACACTGTACTCCACTCTCTACACTCCACTCCACTCTCTACACTCCACTCCACTCTCTACACTGTACTCCACTCTCTACACTGTACTCCACTCTCTACACTGTACTCCACTCCACTCTCTACACTGTACTCCACTCTCTACACTCCACTCCACTCTCTACACTCCACTCCACTCTCTACACTCCACTCCACTCTCTACACTGTACTCCACTCTCTACACTCCACTCCACTCTCTACACTGTACTCCACTCTCTACACTGTACTCCACTCTCTACACTGCACTCCACTCTCTACACTCCACTCCACTCTCTACACTTACTCACTCTACACTCACCCCACTCTACACTCCACTCCACTCTCATCACTGTACCTCCACTCTCTTACACTGTACTCCCACTCTCTACACTGCACTCCACTCATCTACACCTCACACTTACTCCACTCTCTACACACTCTACTCCACTCTCTACACTCCACTCCACTCTCTACACTGTAACTCTCACTCCTACAATACTCACTCCATTACTCCACTCTCTACACTCCACTCCACTCTCTACACTCCACTCCACTCTCTACACTGTACCACTCCCACTCTCTACACTGTACTCCCACTCCACTCTCTACACACTTACTCCACTCTCTACACTGTACTCCACTCTCTACACTGTACTCCACTCTCTACACTGTACTCACTCTTAACTCCACATCTCTACCACTGTACTCCACTCCACTCTCTACACTCCACTCCACTCTCTACACTGTACTCCCACTCTCTACACTGTACTCCACTCTCTACATCACTCACCTCCACTCTCTCTACACCTCCACTCCACTTTTCTACACATGTACTACTCCCACTCCACTCTCCTTACACTGCCACTCCACTCTCTACACTCACTCCACTCTCTACACTCTCCACTCTCTAACTCTACTACACTGTACTCACCACTCTCTACACTCCACTCCACTCTCTACACTGTACTCCACTCTCACTACTCTCCACTCTACATCCACTCTCTACACTCACTCCACTCCACTCTCTACACTGTACTCCACTCTCTACACTGACTTACTCCACTCTCTACACTGTACTCATCCACTCCACTCTCTACACTGTACTCCCACTCTCTACACTCCCACTCCACTCTCTACACTGTACTCCATCTCTCCTCACACTGCTACTCCACTCTCTACACTCCACTCCACTCTACACTACCACTTACTCCACTCTCTACACACTGTACTCCACTCTCTACACTGTACTCTCACTCCACTCTCTACACCTCCACTCCATCTCTCTAACACTGTACTTTCTCACTCTCTACACCTGTACTCCCACTCTACTACACTGCACTCCACTCTCTACACTCCACTCTCTACACTCCACTCCACTCTCTACACTGTACTCCACTCCGACTCACTTACACACTACTCCACTCCCTCTACACTCCACTCCACTCTCTACACGTCCCACTCCACAACTCCCTCTCACACTGACTCCACTCTCTACACTCCACCCTCCAACTCTCTACTACTCACTGCTACCTCCACTCACTCTACACTCCACTCCACTCTCTACACTCCACTCCACTCTCTAATCACCACTGTACGTACTCCACTCTCTAACAACTCCACTCCACTCTCATCACACTGTAACTCCACTCTCTACACTGTACTCCACTCCACTCTCTACACTGTACTCCACTCTCTACACTGTACTCCACTCTCTACACTGCACTCCACTCTCTACACTGCACTCCACTCTCTACACTGTACTCCACTCTCTACACTCCACTGCGCTCTCTACACTGTACTCCACTCTCTACACTCCACTCCACTCTCTACACTGTACTCCACTCTCTACACTGTACTCCACTCTCTACACTGTACTCCACTCTCTACACTGCACTCCACTCTCTACACTGTACTCCACTCTCTACACTCCACTCCACTCTCTACACTGTACTCCACTCTCTACACTGTACTCCACTCTCTACACTGTACTCCACTCTCTACACTGCACTCCACTCTCTACACTGTACTCCACTCTCTACACTCCACTGCGCTCTCTACACACCACTCTCTGCACTACACTATGCACTGCACTTACTGCAGGCAGGCATGTTCTCTGAAAATGAAAATCAAAAAGGAGGGAGTGGGGGGTGGTCGTGAGGCTCATCAGGCCAGCGAGCCGAGCACCGCACATCTTCACTCGTTAGCATGGCTTAATTATCTAAAACAACCTGCTCCTTCGCAACGCACAAACCCGTTTCCAGGTGATTAAGCCTTTGATGATAACATTGAGGAGAGGAGGCATAATTACAAGTGACGTTTGTTTCTATTGTCACAGTCTGATGGGAGTTAATTACAGGTATGGCCTTGTCACTGTGTGTGTGTGTGTGTGTGTGTGTGTGTGTGTGTGTGTGTGTTTGGGGTGCTTCTGTCGCTGCTGTTGTCTCAGAGGACAGGCATTCTGCTGGCATCCTGCTCTCTGCTGGCATCCTGCTCTCTGCTGGCGGGCCTGCTCTCTGCTGGCGGGCATGCTCCTGGCATCCTGCTCCCTGCTGGTGGGCCTGTCTGGGTCATTTCACCAATTCAGTGCCTTTTGAGAAGT